TGCAACAAAACAATTGCATGATCCCAACTCACTGTTGAAGAATAAGGCTTACAGTACTCTACAGTATTGTTATTACTTCTGACAATTCATTTTACTTCAACCTTACCTTGAACCAATTAAATTGTACAGTACAGTATTGTATTTTTTTTGTGAATAAAATACAAAGAGGTTTCCAAATTTGTTCAATAACTTTGAATGATTCTAAGCCATATTTTTTTTTTTTTTTTTTTTTGAATGAAATATGTACGAGGTGAACAACCAAATTTTTTCAATATATTTGGATGATTCCAGGCCTGTACTGTTCCAGCGACTTTTGGGCTTCAAAGTGCGTGACAACAGAGCAAGATATTAGGATATTTCATAGTTACAGTATATGTTTTTTTTTTTGTTCATGTAAAGTGCAGGCAACTTTTTTGTATTATGTGCTATATAAGACATTGTTAAATTATCATTATTATTAAATTGTTATATTATTATTATTATTATTATTATTGTTAATTTAATTATTATTATTATTATTATTATTGTTATTATTATTATTATTATTATTATTATTATTATTGCAATTGATATTATTTATGGCATACCAAATTTTTGTTTTATTATTATTATTATTATTAAATTGTTATATTATAGTTATTATTATTGTTAATTTAATTATTATTATTATTATTATTATTATTATTATTATTGCAATTGATATTATTTATGGCATACCAAATTTTTATGTTTGTAAATTGTTATGTCAATTATGTGTACACTTCCAAGATCGCTAATTAAATATCGAAAAATGCTGAAATATTGTTGAAATTGAGAAGTGAAGAAACGGAAATAGAGGAAATGCATCAGAAAAGGTCACTGAAAAAAAATCAGTTACACTGTACCTGAAGATTAATAATTTGAGGAAATAGATTTATTATAATTTTATTTTTATTTCAAACAAATTTCACCTTGTTTGTACTGGATATTGTCATTCATAATATCATCACTATCATATTAAATTTGGTATTTTATTGTCAGCTGTGTTGAACTCTGTCATGGTACAAACATATGATGCATGAGGGGATTTCCCTCTGGTTTGTGTATACACTTTGACATGTCTTGCGTAATCATAATAATATTTCAGGATATAGTTTTGTCGTTTGTATCGTGTGATTAGAGATCACCTGCCCTGTGTCTTACTGATTAGATCAGTAGACTCGAAAGTTTGTTTCGCTTCAGATGCCTGTAATTCTGTATGTGTTGTCAAATAATTTGAAAAATATTTAACAAATATTGAATTTTAATACTTTTACTAATTGTGGTCAAATGTTTTTGTTTAGAAATTTGATACCTATTTGGTTTAATGTGTGGCAAGGTCAGATGCAATCATAATGTTTTCAACACAGTTGGGATTAACATAAAAACACTGTTTTTATGGCCTATACTGTACCTGTATTGCCTGTCATTATCTAAAAATAATTGGGAAAAAATGAATTGTATTATTTAGGTATTAGTTAACTGCAGCTTTCAAATGAAAATCTGAATGATAAAAGAAATATTCTAATTACAGACACATAATCACATAATAATACAGCTTTCACTTTCCTATATTCTTTGTACAGTATAAATATAGACAATTTATCGTACAATACAAATATTCCCGTCAATTTTCAGACAGTTAACCTTCCTGTACTGTATCCTTTTGCATAGATCCCTAAATTGGCTTGTAATCAATTTAAGGATATTTAGTAAAATGTCTGTAAACCAGTGAAAACTACTTTTTTTTTTTTTTTATCTATTTTGTATTGGAAGCTATACTGTAATAATATATTTGATCTTTTCCCAAATGAACTATTCAAGATTTTATTTAATTTGCTTAGGTATTTTTAAACTGATACAGTAGTACATCTTCAAATCTCTTTACACATTTTAAGTTTAATGTGACATTTTGATTTGCCCATATATGGACGTTATGATGTCATCTCACACTGATAAGGGCAAATCACAAGTATTTGTCAAATGAAACATGGCACTCTTGTGTGGCCAGACTTTCATTTGTGTTTGTGAAGGCTCTGAATTTCAGCCTCACTGGAAATACTGTCCATATAAAGCTCATTGAAATAAATAAGAAAAATGAAAGTTTGTACAGCTTTAAACTGGTCTAGATTATTAACCATCTTTAATTTTGTTTCATCTTATATAGGATGGACAGTGAAGGTGAAGACTACATTTAATTATCAGAAACCTGTCTGGTTTCTAGGATCCTGCTACCATCAGCGACCTGAAGGTATAAATAATACAATACTGATAGTTCCTGGTATATATGCCCACCTATTAGAGGTGTAGTCCCACCTCCTACTACTGTAATGCCCAATTGTATGTGCCAGCCTTTCTTTCAACAAAAGCCCAGAGTATGACTTGTAAAAATAATCTCAAATACAGTTAAACTTGCTTAAGTCAACTTTGCCTATTAGTCGAATAATTTCTAAGTCGATCTAAATTTACATGGCAAATTTTGTGTATTTCTGTACAGTAAGTCAAATTTTATCTACAGTAAGTCGAACAATATTTCAATGGCATTTTAGATTTGACTTTAGGCAAGTTCAACTGTATTGGCATTTGAATTAGGCATACTGTACAATGCTGAACAATTGCCATTTGATTAAAAGGGGGAATTTTTCAGGTGTAAGCCCATCCCTAAAAATTGGCCCAATTTTGTGTTTAAGGGGCATGGGCTTATACCAGAGAAACTACAGTGGTGTACATTTTTATAGCTCTGTATCCATCAAACAAGATACTTGTGGCACTAGATGTGTGGACTAGTAGCTGATTCAGTGACTTTCCTTGCCCTTAAGAGTCCCTTTGTGCCTGTACTGTAGTACCTGGTAAACCGGTGCCAGCAACTCTCGTCAACCGCCACATATATAGTAATCAGTGGCATATCTACAGTGTACTAGTTTTGAAATGGGAGGTGCTGGGGGCGGGGTGAGCGCAAAGGTGAAGTTTAAAGCTCAGTGATTTAGTGAGCAGGCACTAGCTTGCAAAAGAAGGTGATATGAGGTGATTTTTATGCACTTGAGCATGATTTGTTTTGCTTCGAACATCTTTAATGGGGGTGGGGGTTAGGCGACTTGGGGAGCAAGTGCAGCCACTAGATGTGCCACTGATAATAATATTGGGACAAATTCAGTGTTCTTCTTGTTAAGCTCCCCAAAGGAGCGAAGCTCCGGTGGAGGCTGTTGTTTTTGTGCATGTTCTTTTTCATGCTGTTGTCGTCATCGTCCTCGTCCTCGTTGTCGTTGTCCTTGTTGGTAAATTGTTCTTTCCCACGATAAGTAAAGTCCAGTTGGTTTCAAAGTTGGCAGAATGCAAGATGGTAATAAGAAGACGAGCCTAATGATTTGGTGCGTCTGTGAATATGTTAATTGCTACATGTAATTTGCATAATGAATTTTTTATAAATCAGGTAATTTAGGCTACTGGTAGTTACCACAAAAAAGTTTGGTAAATCCAATTGGTTCAAACTTGGCAGAATATAAGATAGTAATAAGAAGACAGAGCCTGTTTTTTTGGGACATACATGAAGATGCTAATTATTCATTTGCATAATTAATATTTCATTAATCAGGTGATTTAAGTTAATTATCATGATAACTAAAGTTTTGGTAAGTGTTATTGATTTCAAACTTGACAGGATTGCAAGATGAAAATAAGAAGACAGAGCATATTATTTTTTATACGTATGTGAATAAGCTAATTGCTCATTTGCATAATTAATATTTCACTAATCAGGTGATTTAAGTTAATTATCATGATAACTATAGTTTTGGTAAGTGTTATTGATTTCAAACTTGGCAGATTGCAAGATGTAAATAAGAAGACAGAGCATATTATCTTTTGTACGTATGTGAATAGGCTAATTGCTCATTTACATAATTAAGATTTCACTAATCATTTAATTTAGGCTAGTTAACACAATAAAGTCTGATTGGTTTCAAAGTTTGCAGAATGCAAGATGTTAGTAAGACGATTGAGCCTATTGTTTTTGGTACATGTGTAATTATGCTAATTGTTCATTTGCATAATTAATATTTCACTAATCAGGTATTATTGGCTAATTACCATGATAACTAAAGTTTGGTAAAGTCCAATTAGTTTCAAACTTGGCAGTATGTAAGATAGTAATAAAAAGCTGTAGCCTATAATTGTAATATGCTAATTGTTCATTTGCATAATTAATATTTCACTTAAGTAATTTCATGACTAAACTAAAGTTTGGTAAGTCTGATTGGTTTCGAACTTTGCACAGTGCAATATGGTGATAAAGCAACAGTTTTTGGTATGTGAGTGAATATGCTGATTGCTAATTTGCATATAATAATATTTCATTGATCAAGAAATGTACGCTGTAGTAACTAAGTTTGGTATTGTCTGATTGGTTTCAAAATTCACGGAATGCAAGATGGTATTAAGAAGACAAAGCCTATTATGATTATGCTAATTGCATAATTAATATTTCATATGAAGAAATTTATCATACTATCATAATTCCCATCAAAACTTTTAATTTGTATGAAATTTTAATTATTCTTCATGTTGTTGTCATTGTCACTGGTGTAGAAAATTGTTTGTTGCCACGATAACTAAAGTTGGGTAAGACTGAATGGTTTTTCAAACTTCCCTACTCATCGATTGTCAGAGAAAAATCACAATGTGGGGAGGCTATGCTTTTACTGCACAGTACATAAAGCTAAATTACAAGAAAGTAACAAGTAACTCAAAGAACATAAATTAAATTTTAAGGGGAAGAAAAACACATCTTGTAGGTTCCGAGTTTGTCTTTTTGTGCGAGTCATGCTAGAATTACTAGTAATTCATACATACTTGCTATTATTTGCATTTTCTGATCATTGGTTATAACCCCATTTTAAAATAAGCCAAACTTTGTGTTCAACCAGTGGAGAAAATAAATTTTAACTAGATTATTTCCTCCATGGGTCAACTAGGTTGGTTTTCACACGAAGAATTACGAAATAATACTTAAGAGAATAGATTAGATTGTAAAATTTTCCGTTTATTGTATCTGTATATTAGTACTATATGTACACTTGAAATCGTGGTACACAGAAGAAAGGAGGTATAATTACATTTCTTACATCAGAGGTGAATATATCAAGTAAATACCAGGGAACTGAGGTTGCTATACATAATAAAACAGATACAGTACTTCGCAAGAGGATACAGAATTGTGAAATATGTAAAGTGTTATAAGAAAATGTATTTTGTGAAACATAATTATAGCATGGAAGTAATAACTCTATGATTACAGGTACAGCAATATTTTGTATTATGTTTTGTTACAGTTAATTTATTGATTTTGTTTCGATTGTTTTCTTGCAGAGAGGCAGTGGATGCGGCACCAGATTTGCACCCACTCCTTGAACAAATATGCATATATGTAGGGCAAGATTGTACAAGTATGTACATATTTCTGTAAATGATTTTGGAAAATTTCTGTGTTTCTTTAATATCATATTAATATAAATAATAATAATTTTTGTTAAATTGATGTAGCACATTAGCTAGATACCACTGTGGTTGGATCAAATTACTGGAAAAAGCGGGCCATCTTTTGGGTGAAACGTCTTTGGTATACTGCCCAATTCACAACCAGAAAGACCTCACTGGAAATAGTTTTCATATTTTTGTCAGTTATCATCGGAATGGTAATCTTGAATTTAGAATTAGGGGGAAGGTACCAGCATGGTGCAAGTTTTTAAAAATTCAAAGTATCCTATTTTCAATGTGGCCTCTAATTATATTGTTTTTTATATAAGAATATTTTCTCGTAACACTATTAAGTATTTTCAGTGCTAATATGGATAAAGTGAGTAATGCATTAATATAGTTGTAAATGTTTTTTTTTTTTCAGTTTACAAACAAGATGTGATAGATATTTGTACCAGTAGGCAGACATCGTCTCTACAACCAGTCTATAAAGTACCAACAACGTATAATGACTCAACAAAAGTTGATGATAGTAACGGACACTACACTAACCCAGCCAGTACTAATAGCTCACACCACCTGGACAAAAGAAAATACACAAATTATAATGATAATAGTGTGTATAAAAAAAACAATGAAATGTACAAAGTACAGAACCTCAGTGCAAATTTGTCTGATATAGGTAATCAGAGACGGAAAGTCTCTGCCGGTCAAATTGACCATCATCATTCAGATCCAAGGAGGGGTGCTGCAAGTAGCCAAGGACAGAATGGTGCACAGTCTAGTAGTAATGCAGAGATAAATAACCCAGGTACAAGTAATGGTAGAGCAAAGCGGCATAGTAGTGGAGACTTGGAATGCGACAGTGCCCCAGGGACAAGCAAAGCCACGGAGGATTCCCCTTGGACAGCCGTTGTAATATTGATCCCAGTTAGACTTGGCGGTGAGGTTGTGAATCCTATATACTTACGGGGGATACAGTCGCTGTTTACAATGGAGAACTGCCTTGGAATCATTGGTGGTAAACCAAAACATTCCCTGTACTTTGTTGGATTTCAAGGTATGGGAAATGTTTGTAATTTCTTTTTTTTTTTTAACTGGATATCTTTATTGACAATAGAACTTAAATGTGGCAAAGACAAGCAAAACCAGTCACTCGTCGCAAATCGTGTTTCAGAGAAAATGGCCAAAACATGCTAAAATGTCAAATTTAAAAAAATCTATTTTATTGCACTAAACTAACCTTTATATATCTACACACCATCCTATGCTGTTATATTTCCCATTTTCAATGTTAAAACAACACTTTTTAAGGATTTAAAGATAGTTTCTGCATGAGAATGCCTGAAATCATAAACTTTAAAGGCTGATTTTCCATACAGTATATTGTTCTTTAAACAGCTGTGTTGTTAAACTCTTGTAACTTCATAAGGAAATGTCCGATTTGAATGATTTTTTTACCATTTTATAGCTATTATTTTACTCTCTAACACTGTATTAATAACACAAAATCGATTTTTGCGACGAGTGGCTGGTTTGGCTTGTCTTTGCCACAAATGTTTAGCAACCCAAATTACTGAATTGTAGAGTAAATTACAAGACAAAGTCATCACAGTAAATAATGGAATTGGCAAAATATTTCAGACTTCTCAAGTACAAGTAACTTCCATATTTGGTTGCTACAGAAATATTTGTCTCGGATATAAGGAAATAGACAAGGGTACTAAGAAAATTTATCATGGGCCTAGACCCATAAATATATAGGTCCAAAACAAATTACTTTTCTGTCAGGATTTTTGGCTACATTATCCCTGGACAACTCATACATGTCAGATTACTGATAAATTATTGTGAAAACTAAGTAAATGTGGCCCGTAAATCTTCATCCTTTTTTTTTTGTTTTTTGAATTTCAACAGCTGATATTATCCTGTTGTTAATTTTTAAACAACCGATATTTTGCATTCAAGACAATAGGTTCTACAGGAATTTTGTATTCACTACGGATATTTGAAGAATTGGTTACTGAAATGCATTTGACTATAACTTGAGTTGAGAAGTGTGATATTTGCAAAATTCATTAAATACAGTACCTTAAGTGAGATACTTTATAATAATAATTACCATGTCTTTTAGATGTGAAGAGAAAAAAGCCTGTGTTCAACATGACAACTTTTATGTAGAGCTAGATCATGTACTGAAATCTCCACAACAGTCTTTCTCCATAATCCATAAGGTTTCATCATTATTTTAAAGTTCATGCCAGTTTTTGTATAGGCACATAATGGCAACAAAGCCTGTGGTGTGCCTCACATGATTATTCTGGTCATTAAACTTTAAATGAGACTTTGGCGACCATATTCATATAGATATTTGCTTTTCAGTAGATCACTTTACATGATAAATTTATAATTATCATAAATGAAAATGCAATATTGACTTTAGAAATAAAACTAATGAAATGTTAAAAAATTTTTAATATTAATAATACAACAAGGACTTGTATAGATTTTTTTGCACTTGGTCTGATAACATATGCTAGACAAAATCTATGTGCTCTACAGAGAACAGACATATAAACAAAGATAATGACTTAATCAAATACTAAATACTACTCATCAAAACTAAGCCTGCATCATTCCCCAGAGTTACATGTTGTTGTTGAGATTTCATTGGTGTTAAGACATAATAATAATGTTAAATCATACAAAACAATTATGTGAGTACATACAGATTAAAATGCTATTTTTTTTTTTGTTTTTTGTTTTTTTTTTAGAGGAGAAATTAATTCATCTGGACCCACATTTCTGCCAAGGAATGGTGGACATGAGAAACCATCAATTCCCACTTCATGTAAGTAAAATTCAACCTCGCTAGGCTCTGTATTGGCGCAGTACCAGGCAACCCCACCAGGTGGAGAGAAGCAACACAGATAAAGTGCTTTGCTCAAGGTCAGAAGTGAAGTCCACAGCGAGGGGTTGAAACCCCGACCTCGAGTTTGGGAAGCCGTTCCCGCTGTTCCAAACCGCTATTGCAAAAAAGAAGACAAGGCAATAAAAAAAATTATGCTGTTGGAAATTCCTTTATTTCAGATAAGAAAGTATAATACATACTCCCAAGTATTGAAAGGCACACCATCGTGTTGGGATTCAATATTTCAACATATTGACTCATCAGTATCATCATCTTACTGATGATGATACTGATGATGATATAATTAATGTCGAAATATTAAATCCCAACACAATGGCAGGCATTTCAATACTTGAAGTATGTATTATACTTTCTCATCTGAGAGTAATCTTGGACCTTTCGGTCCTTTATTTCAATTATTTTGTTTTTTTTATTATAATATATAGCAGTGCAAAAATCGTTGGATAATGCATTGACAGATTAAGGGTCCCGATTCTCTTCCCTCCCCATTGAAGTGCATTCTCAATGTGTAAACTGAAATTGATATCTTTGTCTTCCAGTCGTTTCACTGCATGTCACCTCGCAAGATGTCTATAAGCAAGATGGATCCCAGCTGTACTATAGGTTTCTATTGCAGAACGCGTCGTGACTTTGAGGAATTCTGTCGAGTTATTCCAGAGGTGTGTTCAAACACAGAGCTTTAATTATTAATTCAAGATTCAAGATAATTATATTGTTGAAAAACCCAGAAATTACATTCCACTGGCAGTGTTACAAGTGTTAACAACATATACAGTAATAAATAAAGGATAAGGATATAAAACTATGAACACCAAACGATATCTAGTCATAAGGTGTACAAAACGAATATAAAACATTATTAATCAATATTACACATTAAACTTAATTAAATTAGGTCAAAATTGCACTTAAAACCAAAATTATCTATTAACATTATTATTATGAAGGTGAATATAGTTGGGAACAAAGGAGTTTCTGTAACAGCAACGTGTGGTACATTTAGACAGAAGCCCGAGTTGCTTAATTTCTGTTCATTACAATAATTAAATATTTTTATTGCAGCATATGTTTTCAAGGGACAATTCACTAAAAATTACCTAACATACTGATGCTAGTATATCGTAACATTATAATATTAATAATGCCAAAGATTTATATAGGCAATTACAATTCAATGATTAAGGGTACTGAGCATTATTACCCCTGCTTTTCTTGTTGTTTTTGGTATTTTTCTTTGTTACTTTTATTAGTCTGCATCATATTCAACATCGTTTATTTATTTATTTTTTTTTTATATTAATGACTAGTTTTTTTCATTATTTTTTCTTTTTGTCTGCTTCATTTCGAAGGTCGTCACGCCTCCAAAGCATGAAGGCGATTACCCTATGTTCATTGTTCGAGACGGCCGATGCGAGGAATGGAATGCCAAAGCTAGAGAGGTGACAAATAAACCAGAAAGATACCTGCGAGTACGCCATGTGGACGAAAATGGAAGAATAATTTCGCCTGTCCGGGAATCTGAGGACTTTGTGTTTCTGGAGACTTAACCTGTCTAGATTTGCAAGTCATTTCTAATTCTCTACAGTGTTCTTAACTTTGTCGGTACCTTCGTTATATACCATGTAATAACGGTTTGATAATAGTAACCCAGGCACCTACTCATTATAATAATAATAATTATTCAATTATCTATACTTTATTTTTTAATTTATGGAAATAAAACTGCAATATAATTTATTTTTGTGATACACTACCATTTTGTTTATGTAATGTTTGATTAACTGGTGTTTTATTTGATGTTTTATTGAAATGTTCTCTTTTTAAACACCGATATTTATCTTAAGGAATAATATTCAATATTCGAATCGCTTATTTATTAGTGGATTTTAAGCTTTCAGAAAACATGAAAATGTTTTCATCACCAGTATACATACATATACAGAAAAATTGTGCCATGTACCTAATAAAACATAAAGATGGAAAACTTGTGGAGTGGATAATAATGATGATATGATAGGATAAAAAAAATTTATTTTATCTGGATGTATTTGATTTTCGCTGACTAGTTTTCTCTGTTGCTTTATTATAATCTCTGTCCAGATTAATAAATATTTTTTGACAAAGAAACTTGTATGCCCATATATAGTCATGATGTGCCTATATATGGCCATGATGTGATGTCATCATGACCATACTTAGGCATGCTACATGATAGTCTGAACAGGGCTTTAAGTAATATGTTGACACTGCCATTACTTGCATCAACTAATTTAACTATAACAATTTTTATTTTAGAAAACTAAGAATAAAGTGATCAATAAAGTATATAAATATATCTCTTTAACAAATATTTTAAATATAATAAAATGTACAAAAAATATGGTATTTCTGTGATATCCTTTGGATTTCCATATAGCAATGATGTAGCTACCCGATACCCCAATTACAGTCGGTTCCTGGTAGGTACAAACACCATGGCGGTGATTACTTGACTGTGGCAATTAGAGGATATGAAGCGCAATTAGAAGAAGGGGGGGTGGGGAAGCCCCACATTGCCTGTACAAAAAGGACATGGCATTCTTCTAAGAGTAGAAAGACCAGTAGAATACACCAAAACCTAGCAAGTTAGAAAATGTATTTCTTTAACTCATAAGTGTCCTATGTGAACTCACTTGTTTTATGCAATATCAATTCCTGGGGAAGCCCCACATTACCTGTACAAAAAAGACATGGCATTCGTCTAAAAGTAGAAACACCAGTAGAATACACCAAAACCTAGCAAGTTAGAAAATGTATTTCTTTAACTCATAAGTGTCCTATGTGAACTCACTTGTACAATATCAATTCCTGACCCAAAGGTGTTTCATAGGCAGGTTCCACTACAGCACAAACTGAAATTTAAATAGTCCAAAATAAATATTAAAAAAAAAAAACAAACTAGGCTGCATGAATAGGCCTACAAATCAAAGTTAAGGTAAAATAAATGTTACGGTAAAATAAATGTTACGGTGAAAAGTCCTCTTTCTATCACATTCGTGATGGATTGCCAAGATGCATGGGGCCACAACACTTTCTCGCCCTGGGGCCCTGTGACTTGTTGTTATGCCACAGGCTATAGAAGACTGACATTACTACTATTATTATATTATTATATATTTATTGAATGTTATATACTTGGTTGTTTGTCTTACCATAGATTTTAAGTGCTCAGTGAGGCTATACCATTTGTATTCTATTTTCCTCTTTGGATTTCTTCATGTGCCTAATGTAAATACTGTACCATTCTTGATTAAAATACGTTTGATGTTAACTGCTTAATTGGAGGCTTGTGTGTTTGTATTTTTCTTTATCTTTGGGCTATTGTATTTGTACCTTAAGTACATTGTATGTATGTACCTTAAGTACATTGTATGTTGTACCTTAAGTACATTGTTTTCCTTGTATATATTATTCTTGGCTTGTTTGATTTTGAAGTGCTTAAAAACTCCTGTGTTTGTCGTTCGATTTCCTGGTGTACCTACAGACAGTATATATTTCCTGTGTATTTCTTATTCTTGACATTAAATGCATAGAGTCTTCTTTGTGTTAAATGCTATAAATAATACATCAAACATATTAATACTATTTCATTTTACTGCTATTATTATTTGTTTATTATTAAATATTTTACTAGTTTTGTATTATATTATTTGTAGTAATATTTTGGTTAATAGTAAAAATATAATGTAAAATAATAGCATATTATTATTTTGTAGTTATTATAATAGTTACTTGTGAGAATTTGATTATCTATACTCTAGGTATTCAACCTTATTAAGTTGGTGGCCATTTTCAATCTGTTGAGACCAGTGGCAGTGTTTTATTTTAACAGAATGACACCCCCTCAAGCCTGCTCCCCGTATCGGTCACTGGCTGTTGGTGCCGCCAATGGTTAGAAAATGCATCATCTATGCGCCCCTCACTTAATCATCCCTCATTAGTCCCCCTCCCCATGTCATTACTCTATGCCACTAACAGTGAGCTAAACTCAGAAAAAGTCAGACACTTGTTGACATTGCCAGAGTAAGTGGTCGTGTTCTATTAACAGAAAAAAATTTCTATGTAACAAAAATCGGCTGGAAAAATGATTTATTTTTTAGAAGTCGCGCGGGCCGCATTCAAATTTTTGGCGGGCCAAAGTTGGCGGCAGGCCGGAGGTTGAATACCAGAGATCTATACCTTCAATAATGTGTTTCACTTAATGGGTTTTCTGTGGCAAACAATTTTTTAAAAATCTAATCAATCGATTACGAGTAAACATCTTTCTTTGTCTTTCAGTCTGACATGTGTGTACAGTAGTTGTTCAATGTTTAATCTTGTTTGAAATTAAATGTTCCTTGTTATTTTTAAAACCTATTACTATATTTATTCAAAATATATTCCTCTCCCGAGCCTTATTTGAAATGAACGCCTCCCTTGAATGAAAGCCCGGGGCATTTATTTTTCTTTGAATAAATTACCCATTAGTGACAGTAAACAAATCTAATGGAAGACATCATTCACAACACATTGTAGTTTTGTTCTACTCCAGTAGAATTACATTTTTCTAACTGCTCAGACATTTATTCAAATAAATATGGTAGTTCATAAGTAAATAATAGAAACGTGGTGTGGGAACTTCCTTTGTATTTGCATTATGTGTTGGTCTGTAGCAAGTGTCTTGGGTTGTCGGTAACACTAACATGAAGTTTTAGTACTAACATACGCAATCTCGTTTTCCAAAATATCCTTTCATTTTTGGACCGGTTAATGTTTAAAGGTATAATATGGGATGTCTGTTAAGTTTCTTAACTGTTTGTACATAATTATTTCTTGGAAGCATTAGGGAATAGGTCTGTACTGTAGAGGTTGTACCTGATTTTGCTAAAGCAATGGAAATACAATGTATATAGAATACGAAAATATTAAATTATCTCCTAAATATCATCTTAATCTTTGCTGAGTAAGGTAGTTATTTTCAGTACCCAACAGGTGAAAATCCTATATACAGTATAATATTTCTTATAAACTTATGTTAGTGAATTTGAAATCCTTTATTTGGTGATTTATCTGCTTTCTAACAGAACTTCTTACTGTAAGTGCTGTTTTACATAGATAGCAACGCTATAACCAATAGGCCATTTACTAATATTGCTATTTTTTATTATTATTATTATTATTAATATTGTTGTGAATATTATTGTTGCTCAACAGTGAGGTTTTGTTTATTAAACACTGCATGTAAGTTTTGTGGTGTTAGAGATGAGTGAAATATATGTGAATTAAATTTCTGCAAATTGTTTCCCTGGTATCAACATTGGACAATTCATTTATTGAGTTCAAACATGTAAATATAAAAAGTTGTATAATTTGTTAAATATTTGAAACTATAATCATAAAATTATATATTATATTATGATTATTAAGAAGTGAAAGAAAAGATGAAAGGTACTCATATTAATGTTATTGTTGATGATTATTATTTTTTATTATAATGAAACAGAATTGTATTTAACTAATGATTTTAATATCATTTCTATTTAAAATTAATGAGTATTTATTTTTAAAATGTTATTAATTTAATTGTATTTTAATTGTTTGATAGTTTATGGTATTATTAACATTATTTTAATTATTATCATTCAGTGATATTTATAACAATATAAATTCATTTCATACCAGAACCCAGGGGTGCAAAATTTTTGTTATCTTGCCGCCCAAAAATAACCGCTAAAACATTTTGGGCAATAATTTTTCTTTATTTCTTGGTTTTTTTTTTTTTAATTTTCCAAAAGGGGGTCCTGCCCAGCCATCCAAAATCATATTTAATAACTACAATATACATGCCTTTACTTAATCAATAAATATTATTATAAAATATCAATAATTTTATACCATGATTTTCAATGAATTATTACGTTAACTTAATTCCATTCAATTTCATTTTAATTGCCCAAAGCAATTTATATTAAGAAATGTTGTTACTAAAAAATACATAGATTTAAAAAGTTTAAAAATATAAAATACTTGAAAAAAATTACATACTGGCATATGTAATGACAGTCATTAAAACAGTTTCAAACTGTACTACAGTATACAGTAGTTTCTGTGTTATAATAATTTTACAAGCTAACACCCCCTTCACTTAATCATCAAGGCCCTCCCCCCCCCCAAGAGAAAGTCTGTCTCTTATACACATCTAGATGTGTATAAGAGACCGATGTAATTGTTGTTTTTTTTTTTATTTTAAGATCTAGATTATCTTTATTAACATTTTATGATATGCAATTAGTAAAAATTGTATGCGAGTATTCAGAGTAAAAAAATAATAAATGTGGCAGCATAAAATATGTTTTGAAATTATAAAATGGCTAATGTTGCGTCAGTCAAAAACATCATGTACATATGTACCCAACCCTGGTAATTCTTTTTGTGCCATTTTTCATTATTGAGTAAAATTGTTGTAACTGTGCACAATAACTTATACCTTATAAGGCCAAAAAAAAAAATTGTTTGTTTGCCCTCCTCCACACGCCCCTAACTCACTGAAAAAAATAGGGGCGGAAAAACAAAAAAAGATTTTAAAAAGTTTGTTTTTTTAGCTTTTTTCTTTACGAATTAAAAAAAAATGTGAGTGAATTTATCTTTATTTTTTGCCAGATGGCCTACAAATTAGTCTAAAGTTGTTGTCTGATGTAAGATATTGCCATTCTTGGCCTCTGTGGGTTATTTCTATTCCATCTGATGAGTATTTTAAAAAAAAGTATAAAAAAATATTTTTTCCACCCGCCCATGTTTATCATTTTAAAAAAAAAGTAGGGCAAACAATTTATTTTTTTGGCCTAATTATCCTAGTCTTGTATCTGATTCCTCTTCCTCATAACTATGATGAAGCTGTACAGTACTGTACTAAATTTTGTGTAAAGTCTTATACGCTTTAGACTTGGCATTTTCTTGGTTGCTCTGTGCAAAGAGAACTGCAAGAGGTCCAACTCTTGTGGTTTCGTTAGAACGTAATCCTATTTCAAAAAGCATTGCCACGGGGTGTGTTCTTAAAAGGCAAGTTTCAAGCAAACTCTATTCGAATTCTAAAAGGGCGCCCCCTATCATGTGGCAGTACTTTTTTTAAATGTTCCATTGCGTGCATACAAAATCAGGGCAGTCGGACCTCTAAACAGTTCTATACTGTACTCTTTGCTCTGCCCCCTATTGAACAGTCTGGTTGCTTTTCCTAGGCACAATTTTCTTGGTTATACTAAAGATAATAAATAGCAGAAGATAGAGCAGCTTCCCAAAATAGTGGAACATTCGGTCGAAATGCATTGTGAGTAAATGGAGAAAAATTTTACTGCATCCGCGCGGCGGCGCTATATAGTAATAATAAATGCGCCGCTCTGGTTCGTTTTTTCCTGTAGTTTCTCCAATTAGTAAAATGTTCAAATTTTACTGCATCCGCAGGAGGGCAGATGTTCCATCAATTTTAATGCAAGTACGCGGAACAGCTCATTCTTCTGCTATTTAAGTTCTTTGGTTATACATACTGTAATTTGACCATTACACAGATTGTTTCCACTTCATGTCTCGGGGTTGGTCTCCAGTTAGAGGGCTAGCTTTGTGTTAAAAGGTTGAAGATTGTTATTTGGGTCTTTGGAAATGTGGTCTCGAATTAGAGGGTCTCGTATTGGAGGGTGCACTGTACATGGTTATTTTGACAAAAAAAAAGTTTGTAAATGTTTATAGTTTATATTGTTGATTAATGTAAAATCGTTCTTAAAAGTGTTTGCTTATTTTGTTGATGGTAAAAGTAGTGGTGGTTCCAGAAATTTACCAACAGGGGGATCGGTCCAACAATTGTAGTTTGATCCAAGGAAATAAAAGGGGACATTTTATGGTTTACAAGAAAAATTATCCATTAGGGAATATTTGGAACAGTAATCACAGTAACTTGTTTGGATTTTCAAAAAATTATTTTAATACCGTACTAATCTCACATGGCCTCTAATCACAGGACTAGGTCGTCGGACCAAAAATAAAAAAAATAATAATAATTTGCCTATTCAAATAACACTATTTTGATTACCAATCCCTAATATTGTCGTCTAAATTGACATTTAGGACCAAATTAAGCCATAAAAACTCTCCCTGTGAACCCTAACTGGGATTTTTTTTATTCCGGGCTGTTGACCGAGGCTTCATCGTCGCCTTGGTTTGGACCCCTCCGTTGGACACGTCAGGCCCCTTGTTGGCAAATTTCCGGCACCACCGCTGACCACCACTACTGTAAAGCACAGACTTTTATATTTGCTGTAACAGTGATCAATAATAATTACTGAGTAGAGTTAAAGATCTTGAATAATTATTTAGTTTTGTGTGATTGCAGAAATTTATGATCACATGAAAAGAGAATATACATATGTACATAGTAAATAATAATTAATTTAATAAAATACAAACCGATATGTGTAGTGTACAGAATTTGTTATTTGCAAATATGCTTTGATAGAACTATTTTATTATTATCATTCGACCAAAAAAAAATAATTGTGTTGTCCAAGCAACGAGGTATGTGGAAGTCAGGATCGGTATTCTAAATATAATACTGGCACTTGATGTAGTAATATATAATCACCAACATTATAAAGGCTAAGTTTTTAATTAGTCAACAGGCAATATATATACAAAAACATGCTTCTCATCCCTCCCATGTTATATTTGGAACACTTTTTTACATGAATGAGAAAGAACCAGGTGTGGTGCCAGGAGCTGCCCGACGGGGTCCAATGTCACCAACCAGGAAAAGACTGACGAGAACGTAAGAGGGGCGGTGTCGGGCGTCGCTCTTAATTTCTCATGTGGAGGCCCAGCTCTCCCCTACAGGGCCCCATTGGCAATGCCTAAAGATCCTGATGGGATCAATCGTCCTGATAAGAAATGTGTAAATAATACTTTATAAAAAACAAGCATATCAAATACTTTAAAACAGAACTGAAAAAATATGTTTCAACTTTGCTCAATTACTAAATATAAATATCCACTATCTACAGTTGGAATGTATAATCATGAATGTTGATAGTTCAAACTTTAAAACATCTTTTTTTAAAACAAAACTTTAGTAAAAAAAAAACTTCCTTCATAGAATGTAATAGGTAGGTAGTATGCTAAAAAAAAAATCAGTAATCTTTCTGAATTGAATAATGGTTAATATAATAACAATTAACAACCAAACAAAGAGGCATAAAAAAAAACATTTTTCAAGTGCATTTAGATGAACATTTTAAGGAACAAACTTCATCGACAGTGAAAAACGGAAAACAAAAACTACTAGTGTTTGTGCAGCTAAAAATTGTTTGGCGAAAACAACAGTATTATTCTTAGATATACTTCATACCAAAAGCAAGTATGTATTTCATACTTAATAGAGGATATTGTACTTTGGTACAAGTATTTATGTAACAGACAGATAATTAAATAAGTCATTTTCATGTAGTTTTTTTTAGAATATTATCTCATTTTTATAGAATATATGTCAAAATGCTACACTGAACATCCTAGAATAAAAGAATAGAATCAATCAAACTTCAAAAATACTTGACCTAAATCTTTTGTATGATAGTAGGATCACTATCCCTTATTTAAAATGTTTGTATCAGCCAATGTGAGTCATCATATTGATTATTTTTAATAAATATTATGTAATATTGCAATATTGAAACACAATGGAATGAGGCAAGCTTTTGCAGATTGTTTCAACAGCTGTTCATTTGGTGGGTAATCAATTAGTGATTTTCTCAACACAGCCACCAAACATACTCCTCATCATACAATGGTTGTGCTTCTCCGGTGTGGTGAAGACGGGAGCTCCTAGACACATCTTTCCGACGTAGATGATGGACCTACAATTAGGGCACTTTAACAGATCAGTCACGCACTGCATCCCGAACGGGTTGTCAGGCTGATGCAAGACAATCTCAACGGTAGCTTCCATGTAGGCACTGCAGTGAGGACACTCTCCCTTGGCAATGACATCTGCCAATGCGAGATCCATCATATTCAGGAAACCTTTGTCAATAGCAGAACAAAGACATCTACTGATACTCTGCAAGTGAGTGGCACCAATTTTCTTCAGCCACAAGTGGATTGTTCTCAACCTTGTTTGATCGTTGCTCTTCGATGATTGCGTTGGGTCCAAAATTCGGTCAACGAGAACTTGCTTACGGCCAGCAATCTTCAGTCCTTGATTCCAGCACAAACGTCTCAGTTCAGACATAGTCTTCAACTGCAAAGCAGATAGAAGCCTCTGTCTACAGGAAGCAACTTCTGCAAGATATATTAAGTCATTTTAATATAGGGTTATATTGTCTCAAGACTGGTAAGAAAAGATAAACCGGTTTCGATGAATAATTTTTGGCCATGGACTGATATATACAGAAAAACATATGAATATATACAGAAAAACATATGAAGAATGCATTTGCAGAATCATAGCTTGATACAATGATAAATGTAAGGAAGTGGGCAGTAGCATCGCCAGCGTCTGAAATCTGGAGG